CCTGTCCAGATAAAGTTTTACTATTTTAAAGTCATTTTTAAAATGTTCACATTGAACCAGCCTACAGTGTGGTGGTTGAGGCAGCTGGGTCCCACAAGGCTGACTTCTTGGTCTGAATCTTGGACCCAGTGGCTTGAGAAACATATTGAGTGTGTGTATATGTGTACCTGAAATACTGAAAGAGGGAAAGGAGAAGAGACTGAGGAATGGCCATCTCTTTTCTCACATTTTCTCTCTCTGGTGAGTACATGGGCTCTCTAGCCAATTGAAAAAAGAAAAAAAAGTTCAAATTTACTTAAAATGACATTAAGAGGCAGGGACAGCGCATAGTGTAGTGTTGATGGACTTCCACATACACAACCATGGTTCGAGTCCTGGACTCAGTGGCCTGAAAACCAACACCAGGTGCCCGTGCATGCCCAAGATCCCAGGAGGAGAATGGAGAAGGGATTGTGGCATGGCCATCCCCCTGCCTCTCTATGGTGAGCACATGCACCCTAAGGCAACAACCTCTTAAAAAAAAAAAAAAAAAGACATTAAGAGGCAATTAAGAAAAAAAATTAGCCTTCAATCTTTATTTTCAATATATAAGATAAAGTTTGGAAGTCACATTGGGTTTTATAATTAAAAGTGCTACTTATAGCTAACACTAATATACTATGTTTACCATTTTAGAGTGGGAAACAAGAGAAAGAGGATATTGCCAGATTAAGTTAGTTACAACTTCTCTATCATGAGTTACATCTCTTGATTCAGTGGAGAGATACTAATATGTCAGAAATAGGATAGGGAAGGGAACCAGCAGTTAGTGTAATGGCTATGTCGCTGGACTCCCACATAGTCGATCGTGGTTCACATCCTGGACCCGGTGGCTTAAAACTCACACCGGGCGTGTGTGCGTGCATGCCCAAGATCCTGAGAGGAGAATGGAGGAGAAGGGATTGCGGTGTGACCATCCCCCCTGGGGGGTGATTTCTCGCTTTCTATCTCTATGTCTTTCTCTGTCTGGCGAGCGCACGCACCCTATAGCATAAACCTCTCCCCCCCCCCCCAAAAAAAAAAAAAAGAAAAAAAAAAAAAGAAATAGGATAGGGAAGAAAAGCTACAGATCTTGGGTAGTAAGCAAACAGTTCTGACTCCCAAACTAAGTCAAGGATTTAATACTGAAATTCAAACAGGTCCCAGAATACTGACCATACAGGGCCATGGTCAAAGACTTCTGAGAATTTAGGAAAGATAAGATTAAAAGTAAAAACTGGGTTTACAAGTACCTTAATTAAAATAAAACACAGGTTTTTCTGGTTAGAAAGATTACTAAGGAGCTCAATTTGGATCTGCTTCTAGGAAAGTTCCTGAAAACAAACAAACAAAAAACTAAAAACAAATGATGGGAGAAAGAAACCGTGACAGACAAATGCTTACTTATCACATAGCAGGTCAACTTACACTGAAAATGACTTAATATTATAGAAATTGTCCCAGTCTTATAAAAAGTTTTTCTCAAGGCCTGACGGTGGTGGTGCAACAATAAATTGCTACGCTGTGAAAGGCTGACCCATATAGGCAGGTCCTGGGTTCACAGCCAGAGACCTCCCTGAACACTGTGGAGATGCCGGGTATGCCTGTGATCTTGAGCTTCTGGAAGCTGGGGATAGACTGTGTGTCAAGACCCCACTGGAGGTGCTATCTCTAGCTCTTGTTCATGTAAAAAATAAACAAATATTAATACAGTTTTCACAATAGAAAACAAAGCAAGTAAATTATCAGAGGAAGGGAGACCCACTCTAAGAAATAGTAACATGGGATTTTGGCACAAAATGAAAACAGTAGGAAGTAACAATATTGGAACCCTGGATCTTTTCCTCTTCTGTCTTATTTATGACTTTGTTACATTATGGTTGAGTTTTATTGCCGGCTCCTAACCACCTTGGACTGCTTCCCTCTGCCTCAACAGCTTAGAGAATGCTAGTCACTTGGTTATTACACATCCTTAAAAGATTCTAGCAGAATGAACTATGATGTATATAGAGACTATTAGAGATTTTGACCATTAACATGTATGAAAAAAATTTATAATGTGTTAGGGCCAAGGACAGGAAATTTGTATCAGGAGGTTTATACATCTTTCTCTTCATCCTATAGGCAGACAACTCATTCTAATGGTGAATTATAGGTACCCACCTATTACTCACTCCTCTAAAAAAAAATCAACCTGTGAACATTTAAAGAAAGACTTTAGTTCTCCAAGTACATTTCTCAGGCCCATGAAGCACATTGCCTAAGCCTGGCAGTATATAAAACGTAGGGAGTCACAGAAAATAAGGCAAATTAGATTCATGTTCACAATACAAAATATCTCCAACAAGATTAGAGTGTCTTTTGTTACTTCTTTTCCTTCCTTTGTCTTCATTTTATAAACATATGCATGCACACAGCTTTCAAACAAGAGGCCAGTTGATTAGGAGGCTAGTGTTGATTTCATGAAACCAACAACTCAAAAAGTGTAAAATATTATTTTTGTTTACGACAAATGCACGAACTCAAAACTAGCATAATTGTTATCATTTCTCAAGAGAAGTTATTTTTACTAAGCTTCTTCACAGTAAACAATTAAAGTAGACTGCTTTAGCGCAAATAGTAAACTCAAAATCCAGACAACGGCCAATATTACCATGCTACATAGAAAATTACACCAAGATGTCATCTTAAAAAAGTCCTTGTTACATTTTAGTCTATTGACTCACACTGTGCTGGGAACTTGATAGTGGAGAGAAAATTTCAAAACATTTAAAAATGTTTATTCACATAGACAAAGATACCTTATCATTTTTCTGACATATAATTATTTTATCATCATTTTCTCCAGACCTTCAAAAAATGTACTATAATGTAAAAACTAAAAATGTGTGGATTTCCCTACTTTTTCATCTAGAGTAAATTAAAAAGTTTATAACATATTACCTCAGTAAAAATGAAAGTATACTGTATTTGTGGGAACTGAGAATTGACACCAGACAAACAAGAAGAAATTTTAACTCTAATTTTTCTCACAAAGGTTTAACTGGCATTTTAATATATAAAACCTTGGGTATATGTGTAGTATTAACTAAAATAGTTCTAATACAAATTGAAAATAGTTTTTCAAAAACACAAAAGCAACATGTCATATATTAGGTACTGAGATATTATCAGAGTAAAATGATATATAAAGATGGTACCTGAGAAATGTTTGCATATTCTCTACAAAATGACTGGGAACCAGTTAAAAGGGTTAGAAAAGCATTTATGAATATTTAGATTTCTATGGAAAAATTCTAATGCTTCACAAACGCCACTAATGATGATTTAGCAGGAGGCACTGGAAAAGTTGGTGACGGAATAGCAAGGATAACCAATCGGAATTTAGGAGGATCAATTTCTAACTTTAGCCCTATCAATTAAAATAACTGCTGAAGATAGATAAGATCACATATACTAAAACCAGATCACTAGGCTTTCAAAGCCCATGACTGTCAATTGTTAGCTGTGCAACTTCAAAGTACATTTTTTAGGTCTGTAACATTCAGTTCCATTACATTTAAAATGGATAACAGTAGTCATCCCAGAGCTATTTTGAGTTAAATAAGATAATCCACATAAGGTGCTTAGTACAGTGTCTGACACAGAAGAGCTCACAGTAAATGCCTGGTGTATAATGACAGCTAGCCATCATCACTGTAATGACCTTGTGTTATCCAACTATCCCTCAGTTTCCTTAAATATAAAATACAGGGTTTGGGCTGAATAATTTCTAATGTCTTTGCCCATCTGAACTTAAAAATCTACAGAATATACAGTGCCAGTTATATTTCCAAAGAACACAAATGTAGAGCCTTCACTATGGTATGATTAAGAACATGATAATTTAAATGCCATAGAGGAAACATATTTTTAAGTAACCCTTTCCAAGTTAGTTAAAATTACTACATTTATTAAAGCCAAAGTTACATGTATCTACATAACCAACAGGAAATTCATGATCTTCTGTCATATACTATGGTGAGTATAATTGCTGTACAGTCCTAACAGAAATTCCAAAATATATAACCCGAATGCATTTTTCTTACTATAAGAATATCTGTATCTTCTACTTAAAAAATAGAAAACAAAGATTATGAAAATTTTCAAAAATATAATCCAGAAAAAAGGAGGAAAGAGTTTTGAAATTGTCCAGAAATCTAAAGGTCTCTTATAACTCAAAATTCAAATTACAAGCAAGCTTTTATTTTATGTTATTTTATTTGCAGGAATACTAATATTGTTTTAGTATGACTCATAAACATTATCTAAAATCAGAATTTCAGTATGACAAAGTCAAGCTTAAAGGAACACATTCCACATGTTTCTTGAAAGAAATTATTCCTATCCAGAAACAATACAGATTTTTAATATTCAGAGATTTATTTTGTATAGCTTAAGGATATTAAGAAATTAAAAAATTTTGTTTTTAAAAATTTATAAAGTTGTGTTACCAAAAATAAGTAATCTAAAAACATAAAAACATTTCTCCAAACAGTAAGATAGAACTGGGAAGGAGGAGAGTCTAGGCCCAATTCACTCAGGTATTGATATGATAGGGCCAAAGAATAAAATTGCATTTGCCTGTCAATGTAAAGTGGTTATGTTAGTTCTTAATATGAAAACCACACAAATTCCTGCTTAAATGTGACAAACTAACAAGTTCCCAAACCAGAAAACATGTTTATCAATCAACACTCATAACTCCTTTTCACATTAGCAAAAAATGGAGTTAGTGCTGTGGATATTTTAAAAATGTTTCTCTTGATAATTGTGCTAACTTCAACTTCATTTTCAGAAATCCTCATCTTTAACAGATCTTCACACTTCACAGTTACAATTTTCAATCATTAAGAACTTTCAGTTTTACCTCATAACCAATTCACCATAAAGCAGTTGTGTAAATTTCCTGTCATAAAATGAAAACTATACTGTGTCCTTACCCTCAATATTTAGCTCAAAACAAATGTGGCAGAAGGAGAGTGTTTCTTTGTCTGTTCCCAGTTTACAAACACTGCAGATGTTGTCATCATTCAGATCAATGTTTACAAACTGCTCCTCTCCGTTCATAGTGCCCCTATTAAGAAACAGAAAAGGAAAGTTACACAATTTCAAGAACTTGCCACTGCGGCAGAGTATTAGGAACTTCTAGGAAACGAAAAGGACTATTCAGTTCATTTGAAGCAACAGCCTCATCCAACAAGCATCGCCATACTCTGGTACTTCCAAATCATACTTTTATTCTGAAAAGATACAAAACTAGTAAAACTAAAAGCTGGTCATGGGTGACACCATGCCCACGCGTCTCGTTTTGTCCTACATATCATCTAGGTAAAGAGATCAGAAAAGAACGTTTTTGAGTATCCTTGTCCTCCCGCTCCGCCCCCCTACCCGGACCTCGAATAATGATGCCCAGAGCTTAGCTGCGAGGCCCTTCAGCTGCCAGGTCCTGTCCACTTATTGTCAAGTGCAGGAAAAATGACCTGACCGGGACACTGTTTTGCCAACTTCACTGGGGGAACCTTCGATGCGACTCGTTAACTCAGCTATGCAAGGCTACTCCGATCGGACAATGCACGTGGGAAGGCACAGCTGAGAGGTGTCCCTGTAGTGTCCGGGGTACCCGCACCAGGGCCGAGCGCCTTTCCACGGTCCGGGTCTGGCACCGGAGGGGCCCACGAGGGCCGAGGGGAACTGCGGGGTCCCGGGGCTGGGCCGGCGGGAGCGCCAGGTGCCGGCGTTCTGAGCTTCCTCGCACACAGCGAGAGCGTCCAGGACCACCACAGCCTCCCAGGCTCAGAGTCTCGGGGAGCCGGGGCCCCGCCAGTCCCCGGCGCGGCCCAGAGTCTGGGTGAGCGGGGCCCCGGCCAGTCCCCGGCGTTAGGGGCGCGCGCTCGCCCCTCAGCTACGCCGGACCGGGGTCCATCTCCCGTCCCACCGGCGCGCTTTCGTACTGGGGGGCCGAGGGACTCGGAGCTCACAGGAGGACGGACCACAGGGTCAAGGACCAGGGAAGGAGCAAGGATGCGGGGCTTTTACCGTCCGGCTCCCCGCGCCG